ACACAACAAATCTCTAACAGTCGGCAAATCACACCAACACAATCTAGGATTCTAGATCAATAGCAATGCATATAAGATGGTTTTAATAATAATAATAATAATAATTTCAATTTATATAGCGCCTTTCACGAAACCCAAGGACGCTTTACAATGGGAAGTAACAAAACAAAAAGTAATAATAATCATACAGATACATAGGCTGAAGAAAACAAAACAGGAACAGGTTGCTGTCCCTTTCAGCATCTTGAAAGCACAGCAGATGAAGTCTCAGGCAGGACATTCTCCACAGTAACCCTCCCAGTTTGAGAGCTCTCATCCTATTTAAGCTTTCCCCTCAGACACCTTAACATAATCTGTACCTGCGTGACACTGCATTATCATAACTGAATAAAGATGGGTCAGAGTGAGTTGGCAGCCTCTCTGTGTGCAGAGGGCACAGCAGCACTGATATAAACTTGCCACTGTGTCCCTGCAGTGTATGCATGAAAGTGTGTGTGTGTGTGTGTGTGTGTTAGTATGCCTGACACATGCATCCTGGTGTGTGTTTGTGAGTGTACCTCCATCTGTCCGCTCACTGTGTGTGTCGACAATTTGTCTCCGCAGCGTTGCCCCCCCCCCCCGTAGTGGTAATGGCAGGTCGAGTTGGTCCCTCTTAGACAGTTTGCTCCTGTCAAACATAGTTTCACCCTGAGTGTTTCAGCTCCTGCTGCAGCGGAACCCTCCATCACCACAAGCTGCCGGCCTGTCACACACTCTCCCCACACAGCAGCACATCTTGTTTCCTCCACTGGGCTCCAACTTTCTTTCATTTTTTACTGTTTTCTCTCTTAATTTTCTTCTTATTCCTGTTTTCTTTTTGTTTCATGCTTGTTCGATAAACCGCCCACAAGTACACGCATTCAAACAAGCTTAACCTTTCTCCTTCTTTGAAATACTTTCATTCAACATACGTAAGGCTCACGTTTCATTCTAATGGCCAGTATTGGAAGAAGTATTTAGAGCCGTTACTAAACCTGCATTACCTGATTATTCATGCTATACTTTGGGGAAACAAAGATTGATCTATCAGTCAATAAGGTAAACAATAGTGTTTTTACACGTGCAGTGGTTACTCCTGAACACTATCATTGAGACTTGTGTTTGTGGCCACCTGATGAATGCAAATCCAATATTCACTCTTTTTAAACTGTGATTTTACCACCACCAAATATCTAGGTCTTTAGCTGCTAAATGCTCCCATTTGGTCACCAGCTAGTCTCAGACTGTGTCTGTTTTGGTGCTGTAGAGCACATTTTCTAGAGCTTTTTGCTGAAACAGCTGCCTGCTGTGGACGAAAACAACACTATGAATGTGAAACATTAATCCAAGTTGGGAGCAGATAAGGTAATAGTTGTCTGTAGGCCCCTTTTATATTATTATTTATTTTTCAATATTGTAAGAATGGGGATTACAGCTGCGTGTAGTACTCTCAACTGCATTTAAAAGTCCTAAAAGAGTACAGAAGTTATATTAGCAAAGAGTTATACTCTATATAAAATAATGACGCATGAGTGTGTAAGCAACATCTAACTGTTGTAAAGGAGGGTCTGGCTTTCCTTTGCACACAGTTGGGTCATTTAATTCAGTGGCTCCCAAATCTGACCCAAAATCTTTATTAAAAACAATACATTGTGGGTTTATTTTTGTTCACTTGTATAACCTAAACCATACGTTTGGTGGGGAAATGTCTCTTTGTTAAAACAACTTGTCACATACATCTGAAAGATGACAAGAAGCTTTAACTAGCCATTGCTTATTTTCCTCGGTGGACGCGCCGGCGCGTCCAGATGCGCATCATTTTACGTAATTGATCATATCTTTTCGATTATAAGGAGTAGAAATATGATTCAGATATCCGCGGAATCGCTGGAAGATTAGCTTTCCAGCGGTATCTCCTGTGAGACTGTAACCATGGCACAGCAACCAATATGGCCGCTCAAAGCAGCTTGACTTTACACTGTGTGGGATTGGTGGATTCATGTGTCCGTCAAGGAAATCTCGGCCGGCAGCCATCATGGTCTGAAATGACCAATGGACATCGAGAAATCACTAAGGACCTACCCACCAAGTAAACAAAACATAAACCACGTGTCTCCCATCACGTTAGGTCTGTGAGGAGAGAGAGAGAGAGACAGAGAAAATGGCTAAAAAAAACGTTACAGTTGCCGACTTCGCTAGAGATTTTTTTCGCTAGCAGCAGTGAAGATAGAGCCTCAGAACCTGAAGTCTTCGACTCTTCTGAAGAAGAAGAAGAATACAAAGACAACAACAAGGATCCATTTGGACATGGGTAAGTGTAAATATTACAGTAATAGTGTACTGACAATATGTGGGGAATACCGCGAAAATGAACAATAGGTTTATTGATATATATTTTTTATCGATAGTCATGAACTTTTTATTGGACAAAATAGACTCTCCATTAGCAAATGTTTACTCTGTGTTAACGTTATTTTGGTGTGTAAAAGTGAGATTACATGTGTAGATGATTAAATTAATCATGTATTCGTCCCACAACGGAGACATTTACAGTGACATGTTTTTGCCATCGATTATTTTATCATACTGTTCTGTACAGATGAGACTTTGTAATCAGATGTAGCCTATGTATATGTGTGTCTGTGATTTTATACTGAATGTAAAGTAACTGGAAATACCTGTGTGTGTGTGTGTGTGTGTGTGTGTGTGTGTGTGTGTGTGTGTGTGTGTGTGTGTGTGTGTGTGTGTGTGTGTGTGTGTGTGTGTGTGTGTGTGTGTGTGTGTGTGTGTGTGTGTGTGTGTGGGTGTGTGGTGTGTGTGTGTGTGTGTGTGTGAGAGACTCCTTCTCCAACCTCCCAAACTTTCTTTTTATGTGTGCATTGTTATTTGTGCTTGAGCAACATTTTACTTGAACTATATTTCAATGAAATTAGTTGTAATTATTGTCCTACATTTTAATTTGTTTTACAGAGATGTTTCACAGCTGTCTGGGCCTAGTGGCCCACAGGCGGCGTTTATCCAGCAGCCAGAACATCCATCTGTGCCTGCCTCCAGGTCAAGATCTACCGTGGCTCAAGGGCCTTCACCAGAGCCATCACCACCAAGGACCAGCAGACCAGCATCACTACAGCTGCCTCCACCTCCATCTGCGGCTGCCACCAGGTCAAGATACACCTCAGCACAAAGGCTCCACCACAGCCATCACCTTCAAACCAGCCAGCAAGGAGGTCTCGTGGAGGTCTCGTATAGCACTTGTACACCCCACCTACACAGCAGCCCATGCACCATCACCCCCCATCTTCACAGCAGCCAGACCCACTGTCTTGGAAGACAGACAAAGACCTTGACACTGTCTTGACATTTATAATGAATAGTTGGTTGAAAGTTCTGATGTTCAATATTGTAAATAGTTAGATTTTCCAGTTTCTTATATTTATATAAATAGTTGGTTGAAAAAAACATATTTATAATAAATTGTTGGTTGAAAAAATAGGTTGAATGCTCAATTTGTATTTGTACACATCACATGAACCTTGGTATGTAATATGAAGTCATTATTCAGTCCTAATGTATCTCAGTCCCTGCTTTGGTGAAAGTAGAGTGATAAACACCTATTTTACTCAAAATTCGAAAATTGAATTTTTTTCATTTTAGACATGAATAACACATTTATATACAGTGTAATTCAAATATTTCACTGCTTTTGTGATCCTAAGACTTTGGTAACCAAATCTAAAACACCAAAACAATTCGATCACATTTGTGTTTTCACAAAAGTTTTGAAGATTTTCCGAAAATCCGATGTCAAATCTTATGCTTTTCAGCTACTTATCTCATCAAACAGTGCTCTAAGGTGAGCAATATGCATATATAGCAAGACCAGAAATTGTCCTGAACATTTTGATATGTAACACATGGGGGCCATGTTAGAAGAAATACATTTAAAAGGTGATTTAAGAAAACATCTAAAAATCGAGAAAATACCCTTAGACTCCAGAGGGTTAATAACAGTCAAGTTTGTTTAACTCTATGGTTTTACACAGTTTTTATAACATGAAATTCACATATTTAACAATTAAATCTTCAAATTAATACAAATGTAGCAATAAAGTGAAAGTCAAAATGTGTTAAAATGTAGTTTTTTACTATAATAGGATAGTCAATACCTGTGTTTTTCCAGTTTATCAATGTAAAGCGGATACAAGCGGCCGAGATGGATTTTCTCCGCAGGGTGGCTGGTGTCTCCCTTAGGGATAAGGTGAGAAGTTCGATCATCAGGGAGGGACTCGGAGTTGAGCCGCTCGGAGTTGAGCCGCTCCTCCTTCGCGTCGAAAGGAGCCAGTTGAGGTGGTTCGGGCACCTAGTTAGGATGCCACCTGGGCGCCTCCCTAGGGAGGTGTTCCAGGCACGTCCAGCTGGGAAGAGACCAAGGGGTAGACCTAGGACCAGGTGGAGGGATTATATCTCTTCGCTGGCCTAGGAGCGCCTTGGGATCCCCCAGTCAGAGCTGGTTGATGTCGCCAGGGAAAAGAAAGTTTGGGGCTCTCTGCTGGAACTGCTACCCCCGCTACCCGACCACGGATAAGCGGGAGAAGATGGATGGATGGATGGATGGATCAATGTAAAGTAGTGGTTAAATTAAGCAAAATTACAAAATATTTCTTTCTTTACTCATACATTTTCTTGCAATTATAATTTTTTTTTGGGTTAAATTCACATTTAAAAACTGCTAAAAAACAGATAAATAATGTATTCCATTTCTACAGGTTTTTTATGTTAAAATACATCACACATTTCAATAAACCGTTTATTCTTGTAAATGTAATATGACTTCCTGTAATTATGAAATACAATAAAAATTGTAAAAAAACATTGTTTTATAGTGTAGTCATGCCTTCCTTGGAATAATGAGGCAACAACTCTGAATAAATTAAAACAAAAGGCGGAGTTACTGCATGAGTTTTCTCTTTTATTGCTCAACCTCTCCGTCACAATCATATTCACCACATGAAGTGACAGTCGTTGTTATGGGTAAGTTGCTTAATATTTACTGTAATTGATTTCCATATTTAAGGGCAATGTTCTTACTACATAATTATTTTCTGTATTGTTATATTTTTCTAGGATTTACTTTCAAAACAACATTTTACTGAAAGTTAAAGATATCTGCTCAATTTGCCAATTACATTTTTCTGCTTATGTTTCCCAGAAAACAACTTACAATGGCATTCAACAACTCCACTGTGAACATCGGATATGAAGACTACTGCCCTGAAGTCTTTGGGTTGCTGTTTCACTTGAGAGCTTTTCAAGGCTCCTCATATATTTTGATCTTCATCCTCAGTATCATAGGACACTGCCTTCTCTTATATGTCGTCTATCTCTATGAGAACTTGAAAAATGTCACAAATCTATTTGTCCTGAACCTTGCCTGCTGCGATTTGATGTTCACAGTCTCACATCCATTCTGGGCCGTCTCTCGGCTGCAGGACTGGGACGTTGGTAATTTTGCCTGCACATTTGTGGCTGTGACACACAATGTTGGTTTGTCCAGTAGCATCATTCTACTGACTGCCATGACTGTGGACCGTTTCATAACTGTGGTGCTGCACAACATGCCAAGAAACAAAGTAAGGAGGCAGAGGTTTGCAGCATTGAGCTGTGCAGCTGCATGGATCATCAGCATTTCTGTTTCTGTATATGTTGCTACTAGAATCACGGTGATAGACTGGGGTGGTCGTTCGGTGTGTGCATACCATGTGGACTTTGCATTTAATCTTGCAGTGTCTCTGCTCTTCTTCTTCCTGTTATCCATCATTGTTTTCTGCTATTCTGCCATCCTCAAGACAGTGTTGCAGGCTTCAAACAGAAGAAAGCACAGGGCGGTAGTGGCGGTAGTTGCTGCCTTCATCATCTGCTGGGTACCTTACATAATTGTGCATATAATCGTGTTCTTCGATAACCCTCAAAGCTGTTTTGCAAGGCAACGCCTGAATATTGCCTTTAGTGTTTGTTGTGTACTTGCTTATTCTCACTGCTGTATGAACCCTATTCTGTATATGCTCTCAGAAAAGTGGCGAAAGCATCTTTTGGATCTTTTTAGCTGCAAGAAAGTCAGGAGGGTGAGAGACAGGAAGAGAACCACTGGCTCTTGTGTTAAGCAGAACGTAGCTTTTAAAGCACAAAGCTCTGCTGTTGTGTTGGAACCAACCTGCAGCTAGACATTCAATGCTAAAATGAAAACATCAATTAATATTTGATATGATATTTGTTTGAACTAGTTTAACCGATGGTGATCAAATGTCCTTAAAGATATTAAGGGGACTACTTAAATGTAAATCTCTATAAATGTAGACCTAACATGTCAGTTTACACTTTCTCAGTATTCTTTTTAAATGTGCCATCCTAGATTTGGGACAGGGTGACACATGCACATTTATTTAGCTTCATTAGTTTTGTAAGATGGTTCTAAAAATGATATGTGATGTACACTATTTATTCAAACATGTAAACCAATTCCATTTATTTCCCCTTTTAATTTCCAAAAAAGTTTTGTGCATAAAAAAAACAATCAGCTCTGTATCATTTGGTAAATATTCATGTGATTTCAAATTCACGTTGATACATTGATTATGCAATGTACTATAGATATTATGTGAGACACTTCTTCACTGCATTTCACTTTATGGTTTCATATTAAATCATCTATCTCAGTTGTTACTGTAGTTGTTATATTGTCACCTTTAGGAGTCTTGCAAACAAAACAGAACATTATTTATTTTCAAAATGTTATATCTTTTCTCAAAAATGTGTTTATATTTTCTTGAGCATTTCATCATCATCACTATTATTTCCATGCTACAATCAAATTGATCAAAACATATTTCTGGGGTGTATCCTTCCTTCCTGCTGTTTAGAGATTATGTTCTAAAGCAGAACATCAACAATATCAACATATTCATGCCTTCACTGGAATGATGATGCAACACCTCTGAATAATATGAAACCAAAGGAGGAGCTTCTTCATTAGTTTGCTCTCTTATTACTAAGAGAGGTCAGAGGAGAATAAAGTGGTGCAAGCTGACAGAAAGGTGGCAGTAACTTAAATGCTAAAGTTTGAGGGCGTACAGCAGATGGAGAACACACAGGTTTTACTCCTGGCTCACAGAAACTGGAGAGAAGATTTCAAAAACAGCGCGTGTTCTGACAAATCTCCATGTCTGCTGCTGGTCAGAATTTGGCGCGAATAACAGGAAGCCATGGATCCATCCTGCATTGAGTCAACGGTTCAGGCTGGTGGTGCAATGCTCTCTGGGATATTTTGTTGGCACATGTTGGGCCCTTACACACCAACTGAACACTGTTTGAATACCAGCAGTATAAGCAGTCATATCCGTAGACGTTGTCTCAAATTTGTTGTAATAAACCCATTGACTCTGTAAGAGAAGTAATTGTTCAAAGCATTATATGTAATCTACAATATCTAACCATACTTTTTAACAAAATCCGCTTATTTTATCTTTTAATGTCCAATCAAACTGTGCTTTTACAAAAGGACAATCAGCTCTATATCATTTCGATAATGTTGAGTTAGTTCAAATTCTTATTGATACATTGATCATAGATCAAGTAAAGGGCTTTATATAGGCATTTTGTCCCTAACAAATAGTTTTTGCGCTGATCAGGGGGTACTTGGCTGACATTTTTTTTCAAAGGGGGTACATTATTGAAAAAAGTTTGCGAACCACTAATATAGAGAATAGAGATACTGTGGGTCATTGTGCAATCAGTTCTTTGGAAGTCACACACCCTGACAGGGTGGCAGTTTCATTGGAAGAACATTGAGAAAGAATTGTGGTGCAAAAAGTTTAAAAAAGCAGGAATGTACAACACACACACACACACACACACACACACACACACACACACACACACAGCCCCCCCATGACAGTTGCTGCAGCATTTGAAAACCTTTGATGACATACAGTACCAGTCAAAAGTTTGGACACACCTTCTCATTCCAAGGTTTTGATTTATTTAGATATTTTTTTACATTGTAGATTAATACCGAAGACATCAAAACTGTAAAAAAACATAATATGGAATGATGTGGTAAACATACAGGTGTTAAACAAACCAGTATATGATTTATATTTTTCAGAGTAGCCTGCAACCTTGGGCTGCTGTGTCTCCCTGTTCCTGCCTGTTGGCGTCAGCTGATAGAGGTGTTAGATAGTGCTTTATCTTGTTATGCACAATGTTGATTATTCTTTCAGAACTAGCTAAATACATGGGTAAAGGTTCTACTTGAGCCCAATTTGAATACCATAAAGAAAGTATTAAAGCCAGCTCAAGCTAAATGTCAAATGTATTTAATTAATGTACTGTTGTTTTATTTTATTTTATTTGAGTTGTACATATTTCAAAACGCGAAGTGTAATAACTGCAGTTGCCTCCCTGTCACCGAGAATGACAAAGCACTCAGTGAAGCACAAGCCCATGTTTCTCACTAAATTGTAAGTACAACTTATTAAAAAGATCAGTTCAATGCAACTAATGTCGTCTTAGTGTTATTGCATGTTAAAATTGGTTTGCCATGAATTTAGTGATGGATTGTAAACATTTGAAATGTAGCATTTAAGTATTTCCCAGTTACAAGGTTGTTATTTGAATAAATCAGACACTGGTGGTGCAGCGCTGTACTGTACCTCTATATATAGACTTCTTTGTTGATCCGCACATGTCCTCCGAAATGCGTCCTTCTCTGGAGAAGCTGCTCTCCTAATGACGTTTCTTATCCAGCCCCAATATTACCACCAATTTCCCAAAAATACTGTTGTGTAATTTCAAATATTAGCATACTGTTTAGGGTCCCTGTGCTGCTGCTTCACATTGGCCAGCCCACAATGCATTGCTAACTAACTACAGTACAAAACCGTATTACATGAATACAGTAGATTAGTGTTGAAAATTGGCTGTACATTAACAGCAATTGCTTACAGTATCTTTTAGGATATTGGGGTTCTATTTTTATGATTCTCTGTAAACATAGGATAACCATTTACATTTTAAACAGTAGTTTACTCTTTCTCAGTATTTCTTTAAAACAGGTTCTGGATATCAGACTTCAAATGCAAGTTCTTAATATTTGTATTCCGATTTTCATATTTCGGCTTTATTTGATCAGTTTTAGGTAGCTAGTCAATTTAACTAAAAGTAGTTACATCAGTTAGTGGAAAACACTGTTTCTGGCTGTTTCAAAGTTTTAAATGAATAATTGTAATTGTAATAAAGATTTGCAAACAGATCCTGTTCCAATTGAGGATCCATGTAAAAATGAATTGTTGTTGTTGTTTACAGAATAAGTAGCTTTTTAGCTGCAAGAAAGTCAGGAGGGTGAGAGACAGAAAGAGAACCACTGGCTCTTGTGTAAAGCAGAACGTAGCTTTTAAAGCACAAAGCTCTGCTGTTGTGTTGGAACCAACCTGCAGCTAGACATTCATCGCTAATATGAAAGCATCAATTAATACTTAGTATAATATTTGTTTTGAACTAGTTTAATATGGTGTTCACATTTCCTTAACGATATTATGGGGACTACTTTTATGTAAGTCTCTATAAATGTAAACCTAACATGTCAATTTTTAACAAATGTTTAGGCTTTCTCAGTATTGTTTTAAAATGTGCTATCCTAGATTGTGGACAGGGTGACAAATGCGAGTTTATTTAGGTTCAATAGCTTTGTAAGATGGTTCTGAAAATGAGTTGGTTCTAAAAATGACTTGGTTCTAAAAATGGTTTAAAAAATGATATGTGATCAGCTCTGTATCATTTGGTGTATATTCATGTGATTTCAAATTCACGTTGATACATTGATTATGCAATGTACTGTAGATAATATGTGAAACACTTCTTCACTGCATTTCACTTAATGGTTTCATATGAAATCATCTATCTCAGTTGTTACTGTAGTTGTTATATTGTCACCTTTAGGAGTCTTGCAAACAAAACGGAACATATTTTAATTTCAAAATATTATATATATTTGTTTTGATCAATTTGGAATTTGTAAAACATTTGTTTTTATTTGCCTGAACATATCATCATCATCATCATCCTCATTCCATGCTACTATAAACAAGATCAAAACATATTTCTGGAGTGTATCCTTCCTTCCTGCGATTTCTGTGTTATGTTTTAAAATCAGAACATCACCAATATACATGTCACCAATTTTGGTTAATCTTAACATACACTGTAAAAAGAAAAATTGTTAAAAAAAACACGAAAATGTTCTGGCAGCTGGGGCGCCAGAACATGTCCGTTAAAAAAAGGGAAAAAAACTGTAAAATAAAATACGGAGATAACATGTAAAAAAAACAGTAACTTACCTTTCCACAAGTAGCCTCTATTACTGTAATTTTACATTAAATATTTTTCTTTTGACATATATTATTTGTTAGAATAGAGTCATACACCTCTAGAAAACAGAATATTTATCTTTAAAAAATGATGAAGAAAAGCTAAAATACAGAAAATTACTTTTATTACAAAAAAGTACCGTATATCTAAGACCATTTACAAGTAAAACACAAACAAAAGAACGTAATTTTACTTTGCAAAAGCCTTAGTTTACATTAACTATCACATTTTTTGCCAAAGTAATTCCATTAAATCTTTTTCTTTTAATATATATTAATTGTTAGAATAGAGTCATAGACCTCTAAAAAAACAGAATAAATATTTTTTAAATGATAAAAAAAGCTTAAAGACAGTTCAACAGTGCAACATATCTATGGGACAGACAGACAGCAGCGATTGCGTTATTGAATGGTAAATATATATTAAAAAAACACACACCCAAGTACTTTTTCAGCTGTAATTGCATTATTGCTTACTTTTTATTGACAGTTTTGCATTTGGAGAGGCAGGGTGACAACGGAAAGCTTGGTAGCCTATTACTTTTTTACATTTTTGGAGGGAAACGCTTGTGTTCATGTTAGCATGGGTAGCATGATCATGTTAAGACTATGAATATCATTTTAACACAACAGTGGACGAACAATTGATATATGTGTTTGAACAAGAACAACAGGAAGAACAAAGTAAAAGGGACGAACAAATGTGTGAACAAGTATTAAGAACAGTGTATGGAAAAAGTGATGTGATGTGGGATGTGTGTTAGAACAAAACAAAGTAAAATGAATGAGAAGGAGAACAAAGAGGGTTAGGGTTCAACAGAAAAAGATTAATTCAGCCAAAAAACACAATTTGATTAATCTAAAGTGTAAAACAATCTTCAACACAGACCAAATGAGTGCCCTTGGACAACAAAACATATGGTGGGGCAAAGAAATGATAAATTAAATTGAGACAGAGTGGGAGACTGAAAATGATTACTATGATAAATATTAAAACTATTTACAAAACTATTTACAGAAGCTCCTGTTGAACCATATTGTTATTGTTATATTTTTCTAGGATTTACTTTTAAAACAACATTTTTCTGAAGGTTAAAGATATCTGCTCAATTTGCCAATTACATTTTTCTGCTTATGTTTCCCAGAAAACAACTTACAATGGCATTCAACAACTCCACAGTGAACATCGGAGGTGAATACTGCTCTGAAGTCTTTGAGTTGCTGCTTGACTTGGAAACCTTTGAAACCTCCTCATACATTTTGATCTTCATCCTCAGTATCATAGGAAACTGCCTTCTCTTATGTCCTCTTTCTCTATGAGAACTTAAAACATTTCACAAATCTATTTGTCCTGAACCTTGCCTGCTCCGATTTGATGATCACAGTCACACTTTCATTCTGGGCCGTCTCTCGGCTGCAGGACTGGGTCGTTGGTCATTTTGCCTGCACATTTGTGACAGTGACAAATATTGTTGGTTTGTACAGTAGCGTCATTCTACTGACTGCCATGACTGTGGACCGTTTCATAACTGTGGTGCTGCACAACATGCCAAGAAACAAAGTAAGGAGGCAGAGGTTTGCAGCATTGAGCTGTGCAGCTGCATGGATCATCAGCATTTATTTGTCTGTATATGCTGCTACCAAAGTCACGGTGGAAGACTGGGGTGGTCGTTCCATGTGTTTGAATCTGATGTCTTATGTCAGGGGTGTCAAACTCAAGGCCCGGGGGCCAAATCCGGCCCGCGACTTCATTTCATGTGGCCCCACAAAAACTTGCAAAGAATATATTATGTTTATTATACGTACATGCCGCTTTACAGAAGCACATTGCCCATAAACTACATGTCCCACAATGCATCTCAAATTTGACTTTTTTCTCAGAATTTGACTTTTTTTTACAAAATGTTACTTTTTTTCCAAAATTGCACTTATTTTTTTTTCTTTTTCCAGAATTTGGCTTTTCTTTTTAAATCATTTTGTCAAATGATCACTGAAGAGACTTGCAATTGTTTGCCCTAGACTTCTGCTTTCAGACATAGTTAATTATGAAGTTATTACCCTATCCGATAATAATCCAATGCAGAGGCAATAATGTAATATAATACATTATTTTATATATATTAAATATTTATTCTTATATATAAAATTGGCCCTTTGAGTGCAACCATAATGCTAATGTGGCCCGAGTTGAAATTGAGTTTGACACCCCTGTCTTATGTGGACTATGATTTTAAACTTGCAGTGTCTCTTCTTCTTCCTGTTATCCATCATTGTTTTCTGCTATTCTGCCATCCTCAAGACAGTGTTGCAGGCTTCAAACAGAAGAAAGCACAGGACGGTAGTGGTGGTGTTATGTATAGTTGCTGCCTTCATCATCTGCTGGGTACCTTACAATATTATGTCTATAATCGTGTCCCTCAATGTACCTGAAAACTGTAATGCATTGAACCGTTTGATTATAGCCTTTAGTATTTGTCGTGTACTTGCTTATTTTCACTGCTGTATGAACCCTATTCTGTATATGCTCTCAGAAAAGTGGCGAAAGCATCTTTTGGATCTTTTTAGCTGCAAGAAAGTCAGGAGGGTGAGAGACGGAAAGAGAACCACTGGCTCTTCTGTTAAGCAGAACGTAGCTTTTAATAGGCTTATCATGATTTTCATTGTAACGTCTTAACCAACAGCCATCTGATAAACACAGTGGAGCAACAAGTACAATATTTTTCTCAGGAAATGTAGAGTAAAGGAGCAGCGATTGAACATTATAGTGCAATACTTGAGTAAATGTATTCAGTTACTTTCCACCTCTGATGGGAGATATGAGTCAGTGATGGTGACCTCATCTCTCTGCATTTCTCCTGCAGTGGTCGCCGACTGAACGATCAGAACTGCAGTGTTTTCAGAGCATTGTGACCCGCTTCAACTACATCTAAATGTGTGTTTCCTTTGCCGGAAGTGTTTTTCTCCCCCTGGCTCTGTATGACCCATCGTGTCTGGAGTTTTTGTTTCTGTAGTTACGACCCTGCAGCCTCACAGCCGTCTTATTATGATGAATGTGGAAGAGTAACAGAGAGCAGGAGATATAGATATCATTAACTGAAGCACATTTTTGATGAGATACAGATAGATAATGTATGAACATGTATATATATTCAGTATTTGTATCAATGATGTATGTATGTATGTATGTATGTATGTATGTATGTATGTATGTATGTATGTATGTATGTATGTATGTATGTATGTATGTATGTATGTATGTATGTATGTATGTATGTATGTATGTATGTCTGTATGTCTGTATGTCTGTATGTATGTATGTATGTAGGTAGGTAGGTAGGTAGGTAGGTAGGTAGGTAGGTAGGTAGGTATGTATGTATGTATGTATGTATGTATGTATGTATGTATGTATGTATGTATGTATGTATGTATGCAGCTGAGGCATATGTATTCCTTGTTTTCCAATCATTCATTGATCCACCCACAAATCCCCACCATATTAAACCACATATAGATGGAAAAAAGCACAGGATGAAGAGGAGGATGAGGAGGGGGGGTATAGTTGTTCATTACAGCCTTTCTTCTATCTGGAGGTAGATAGTGAAATGGTAGCTTGATGGCCACTGTTTCCATGGCAACTCTGTTAGAGCGACCTTCGCCCACAACATCTCAAAAGATCAAAGATGTTATTTTTAGAGTAACACAAGAAGATATGGCGTCTAAAGCTTCAGTGGAGGGAAAGAAATCCAGAAGTTTAGGGCAAACCATTGCAAGTCTCTTCAGTGCGCATGTTACAAATTGATTTAAAAAGAAAAGCCAAATTCTGGAAACATTTAAAAAATAAGTGCAATTTTGGAGAAAAAGTCAAATTTTGGAAAAAAAAGTCAAATTCCGAGAAAATAGTCACATTTGAGATGCATTGTGGGACATGTAGTTTATGGGCAATGTGCTTCTGTAAAGCGGCATGTACGTATAATAAACATAATATATTCTTTGCAAGCTCTTGTGGGTCCACATGAAATGAAGTCGCGGGCCGGATTTGGCCCCCTGGCCTTGAGTTTGACACCCCTGGTCTAAATAAAAAAAAATGATATTAATTTCTATATTTAATGTTTATATTGCTTTATATTATTATGATATCGAAAAATCTCTCAGAAAAAACTGTTCCCAGGATATCACAGCATCAATTGATATAAACAGATAGTACTGAAATATAACTGAATAGTTCGACCTAATAATATTTGCTATGCATTTTGTATGATTTCAACATGTCACTATTATGCTTTACTGCTTTTCTTTATGGACAATATATAGCAAAATAGTAAAAAAAAATGTACCTTTGAAGCAACAGATGACACAAATGTAGTTGATGTATGTCTGCACTTACTGAGTGCACTTTTGTGGTGTAGTGGTATTTTGTATCTTTATTCAAAGTTGGCACAGGAGAGATAATGGAGGGATTTAAGGAGGGATTGACATGCAACACACTTTCTCAACCGGACAAGAATCAGGACGCTTCAGGCCACGGTTAGTACTCAAACTCTGAAGATGTTGCAATCATGTTGAATATTTTGAATTTATCTTCCTCTTTTTCTCACTGAAAAAACAAGCCAGCTTCTTTAAAAAAAGATGTTTTCTTGCAGGAATTAATTTGTGTCGCTGCTAAAAAAATTGCTACTCAGGCTTTTTTCTTTCTCCTATATGCACCAGAAATTGTATATGGATCCCTCACATATGGGGATGTCTCAGTGTCTTGTACCTCACACACTGAGGCTAAGCAGGACTTGGCTGAGACAATAAGACCCTCTGAGTCTCCGGCTCATTTCCCTCCTCGTGGTGATGGGCTGCAGATTGGTGTACACAGTAATTCCAATGTAGTGCTGCAGGCTCCTCAGTGGACACACTTACCAGCATGTGTCTCCATGGAGACACAGTTTGTTCACGCGCCCCTGCAGCTTGTGTCATTGACTTCAATTAGTGCAGAAGGCCGTCTTGCCTAAGCACATACTTACACAGAGAGCCGGGGCTCAAAGGGTTGCAGGAAACAGTCTGAGGAGATCTGAGGGTGCTGGGATACCACGGAGAGGACTTCATGGAGGCTTTATAGTGTGGTGACTTTGACATAAATACTTTGTTGAAACTGCTTTAGTGACGCTTACATTTAAATTGAGACCCCTTTATGAAATCAGTCTGCAAATCATGTTTCCCTTATTTAACGACCTACAACAAAAACACAGCTGACGATTTGTAAAACTATTAATTTGTCCCTAGATTTTATGCCATTTTAATTGTGTTATGGGCGTCTGATTGTCTGATGTAATAATGTTTTTAATGCATCACCTCGATCTGCTTCTATCAAAAGTTATAAAGAGGTGCAGGCCAAGTAACAACCCAACCTATTTGTTAAATGTGTGTGTGTATACATACAATTAGTAGAATGCTTTCACTGTGTATAGCAAATTCAATTTTAAAGTTGATTAAGAGTGTGATCACGTAGCGTTTTTAAATCAAACCTTAAGGACAAACTATTGCTTCAACCCTGAAACCAAAGTCGATCAATCCTAAATGTGGGCAGTTGAACTTGAACTTCTAAATGTGTTTGTCCTTATGGTTTATGGCTTTTTCATGGGCAAAACTTCACCATGAAAAAGAAGCAACAGTCTGGGAGTTTGGATGTTCATGAGTCACAGGATTAAAGCTCTGGGCCTTTACAGACAACTAAACTCCAAATAAAGTGGAGGTCATCTGCAGAAGCAAAATGGATTTCTGTTCCGGCTTTTGTCTGGTACTGCACCTTCAGAGGGGCTCAATAACAATTTGTACCATCATTTTATTGTGAAAATGTGGTCATTTACTATGTTTTTTTTACTTATAACACTAATATAGATGAACATTATCTATTCACATAATGTGTGTCTATATTTGTGTTTCCTTTTCAAGTGGATTCTCATTTCATTTGCTCTATTCCAGGTGAGCATGTATCTTTGCCCTCCATTTTCTTCCCCTTTGCTTATATCAAGGATTGCCTATTCAACCATTTCCTGTTGCCAAAGAAACAGTGGCGAGTCAGAAACACGTAGCCTTACCTTTTCTGCCCATTTGAGCCACTTACAGTACATTTGCTTTCTCCTTAGTTAGTGTTGTGGACGTCATCCTGCGGCTTTAGGGACGTTTGTTGTCATTAGCGTAGTTTTCACAACCTCCTGTGGATCTGTTCCAGGTTCCATTTACCAGTAGGTGGCTTCCATTTCCAGGTAGACAGACAAAAAACATTACTGCCAAAGTGGTGGGATGTGTCTTTAAAGTGATTTCAACCTTGACTCCCAACTCATTATGAGCACACTCCCAGGCTGCATCTATAATTACAGTGAACAGGTGCATCACTCAGCCGCATCGCCATGGAGTTAGAGATTTAATTTAGAGATGCTACCCGGGATATTAACCCTGCTAATTACAACAGCGCGCTCCACGTCTAACCAGGGGATGAAACGGTGTGGACCTCAGGGCGAGGAAAGCACACAATTACTTTCTCGTTTATTCTGAGGGGAGTGCAGGTGGGGAGGACATGGTGTTTACACAGAGGAGGACTCTTTTCTCAGCTGTTGTGTGCAAACCGGTGATTGCCTGTTTTTAAGGATGGATGCATCATTCTGGAAGGTCTAACAAGTGTAGGAGAGGTCAACTCTGGTCCAGACTGAAATATTTTGACAATTATTTGATGGATTGCAGTGACATGTTGTTCAGACATTCTTGATCCCCGGACGCTGTATCATTTTAATGAGGGGGGGGGGGGGTGGAAGCCATGCAGCAGTGTAAAAACAGCTTCACTCTTGTTTCAACATGGCTGATGTACAAAGACTCAATCAGCAAAACATTAAAATTGGTAAAGAAAGTATTTTTTTATTTTACATAATTCCTTTGGTATTATTGACAAAAACATTATTTAGAAGGTACGTAAATAAAAACCAATCTTCTTCTTCGTCTCGACAAATAATAAGTAGATTAAAAAGTAGTTCATAACTCATAAAATGTATTTTGCACCGATTTCCCACAAATTTCATCAGCAGAAAATCCAAGAATAAAGCACTCACAAAAGTCACACAATGGCCGCTACGCTACAAAGATGCCAAATATAAAATGGTCCCCTTTTATGACTCTCCTTTGAAGAATCCTTTGAAGTATTTGTATGTTTCACATCTATAAACATATACCTTATATCCTTTGACTCTCTTACGCTTTTTCAGGACACTTCATTTATAGTGCATCTGCGTCTGAATATTTTTTCTTTGAAAACAGAATAGGGTGACACTGCAGCTAGCCTGTGATCTTTTATTCATCCATTCGTCCTCGTCTCCTCACTCCTCGCCTCCGCACTGGGGAGCATCTGACAGTGTTCACTGAAAACCACCAGCTGGAGTGACAACAAGAGGAGAGGAGAGGAGGAAAAAGGAGAGGAGGACACGTGAGGGACAGGAGGGCAGTCAGGGGCACAATGTGCTGACAGCAGCCCGGCCCTCGGAGCAGATGGTTCGGACAGGACGGGCTGTGGCTCCAGATCAAATCTTCACCTCTCAAAAGTAACACGCTTGGAATAGATTTAACTTGAATCGGGTTTCAGTTACCTTTTGACTTTGTTTTTATTTTTGCCCCCTTATTGGACAATGTCAATGATAACTT